GAACAACTTTAGGGGAATTCCTCAATGTCTAAAAATAACATTTAAAATAATTAGGGAAAGCTGAGAGCGACATCGATTTAGGCTATTAATGATACAGGCTTTGAAGCCAGACAGATCATGTATATGTCGGGTCACCGAAATAAAGCGTCCATTCGAAGCTATGACAGAGAATGCTCGACTTACCAAAAGAATCCACCGAGCTCCACACTATAATGCCTCGGGAAATCCAACCGCGTCGCCTCAAGCGGTAATCCGCGTCATCGGCAGCTGTGGTATGACTCAAACATACACCAAAAGTTCACAGAACGTTAATATGTATCAATTTTCAACATATGCCTGGTCTGGATTTCTTTCCAAAGCTAACTTTACTGGGTGCAACTTGTATTTCAAGCGAATAACATTGCGGTAGCCGCCATTTTCTGCCGTTTGTAAAGTTTGATGTTTAATGGATTGTTTTGTTATGATTAATGAATCTGTCAATATAAGGATTGAAGTTATATTTGTTGACGTTCTCCAGCTGATGAAGACAGTGCCTCACGTGAGCATATTTACCATGAAGCGCTTCGTGCATCAGCTGATGAACGTCAACAAATACAACTTCAATCCTTAAATGAACAACAACGGAGAAATTCAAATATGTAATTTATATCATTGCCACAAACAAGGATACATTTTCAAGTATCGTGAGACAACGTTCTGACATCAGGTGAAGGGTACATACACTGAAAAATTGTGTAGTCTAGCAACCAAGAAAGCGCAATCATCATTATTACGAACGTTTGACTTCATTGTATTTAATAGAAATTTAAGTTATATATTGATTTGTGTCCGATTGGAACTTTGAAAGTCGCCGCTGCGTCGCCAACAATGTTTTCTTCCATCTGTGAATCGGAGACAAACCATTTGTAAACATGATGTAACGCCATTTGCTCACAGCCCGTCCCTGGTGTTTACTAGCTCATCCCAATCTTTGTTTTCTCTGCATTTTCAATGGGTCACAACAGCTGATTTGAATTTAATGTGTAGTGCAATAAATGTAATGATACGATCTTGTCTAGGTTCGGTTTTTAGGCCAAGTCTCGTTGGAAGCACAGGCGATAAAATACACTTTTTGATTTACCAAACATCTTGGGATATTAACGTAGCTACATTCATGACATTGGTCCCCACCCGTGAAAATCCAGGATAGAATAGGTCTTCAGCAACCCATGCTTGTCGAAAGAGACGACTAGAGGATCGGGTGGTCAGGCTTGCTGACTTGGTTGATGCATGTCATCGTATCCCAATTGCGTGGATCGATCATGGTCATGATGTCCATCACTGGATTGTCTGGTCCAGACTCGATTATTTACAGACCGCCGTCATATAGCTGGAATACTGCTGAGTGCGGCGTTAAACAACAAACAAACGAACGAACGAACATTAGTTACCTTTGTTGTTAATCGATACAGAGATAATTTCATAATTAGTGTGTAAATTCATGTGTCTAGAAACATATTCAAACACAAACAATTCAACAACATAAGCTGCATCATGGGGCCTGTCACTCGCTGAAGGAAAATGGTTCGTAATAATTTTCTGAAATATCAGATTTATAGTTTAGATGTTATATTTTCTTGTAGATTGTGATTCTTTTGAGACGTAGGGTCGTAAATAGCAGATGTGTGCACATTGCCAACCTTTATCTTTGATTTTTCGAATTATATTCCACCCTTTGTCAAGTGGTGAATGTGTATTTATTTAGAAATAAAAAAAACTTTCTAGATCTTTCGTAGATTTAGTTTCATACATGTACAAGCATTAATAATAATAATAATAATAATAATAATAATAATAATAATAACTACAGATTTATATAGCGCTGGTATCCAGTTCGAAGAACTGCTCCAAAAGCGCTTCATTTGAGTCTACACACAAAAAGAGACATTACACAGCTAGGAAAACACAAAGCCTCAATACTCCAAGAAAGATTTGGTGAAAAGATAGGTTTTGAGTCTTGATCGGAACAAAGTAGGACTGTCAATGTTCCTGATATCCAATGACAGCCTATTCCAAAGCTCAGGAGCAACTTTGGCGAAACTCCGACCTCCAAAAGTCGCCGTTCTAACACTAGGCACAGAGAGTAGGGACTGGCAGCTTGATCTGAGAGATCTCTCATGCACATAAAGAGAACTTCAGTTTTGTCACAGTTTAATTTGAGAAAATTTGTCAGCATCCAGTTCTTCACGTCATCTATACAGGTCTGCAACCTTTGAAGGGATTTTTGCACTGAGTGAAGTTGATTCAGTTTAAAGGACAGGTACAGTTGTGTGTCATCTGCATACAGATGAAAAAGTATTCCATGATGTCGGGCAATATCACCAAGTGGAGATGTATAGATGGTGAATAGCACTGGTCCTAAGACCGAACCTTGGGGGACGCCATATGCAAGCTTCACTTTATCGGACAGTTTATCCTTTATCCGCACTAACTGAAAGCGAGATGAAAAGTATGATGTCACCCATGAAAGGGCGTCCCCAGTCACATTAAACCGGTGTTTTAGTGTTCTGAGCAGAATACCGTGATCTACAGTATCGAACGCTGCCGAAAGGTCGAGTAGCACTAAGAAAGCACCGCCATCAGAATCAACAGCTCGAAGAAGATCACCCTGTACTCTGATTAGTGCTGTCTCTACACTGCGACCGGACTTGTATGCAGATTGTAAACATTCTGCCATTCCCGTTTTAGTAACGTGATCCGTCAGCCTCTTCACAACAATGCGTTCAATCACTTTAGATATAAATGAGAGGTTGGAGACTGGACGGTAATTTTTCAGTTCAATTGCATCCAACTGAGGTTTTTTGATCAAAGGTGTGACAAGAGCATACTTTAGATCATCTGGAACGCAGGATTCCTCGAGTGATTTATGTACAATGCGAGTAATGACAGGACTGAACTCGTCAAGGCACTCTTTTAGCAGCCAAGTTGGAAGTGGATCCAGGGAGCACGATTTCGCTGGACTGTCACCGATGACTCGTTTGATCTCTGTCTCTGTTGTCAGATGAAAAAGATGTAATTGATCTGTGGACATTGGATATAATGTATCCGTTGGATTGGGTTGTACAGGTTTTGAAGGAAGGTCTGCAATGTTCTTTCTGATAAGACAAATCTGAGAAGAATCTGGAGAAGTTTTCAGCTTTTTCTTCATAAGTTGTGTCATCATCTGGTAACACATGTGGTTTTCCTTTGTACAAAAGTCGATTTGTTATCCTGAAGATGTCCTTTTGGTTTTTAGCATTATCGATCAGAGAATTGAAATATGACCTTTTAGTCTGTTGAATGAGCAGCGTAACAGCATTACGTGCAGCAACATGCATCTGTCTGGAAACAGTCAGCTTATTCGAGCGCATTTTTCTCTCCATTCGCCGACGATGTTGTTTTGCTATATGGACATCCTCATTGTACCACATTTCATTAGCTCGAGTAATATTGACATTCTTCAAATTATCCTGGGAGGGACAGTTATCAAAGTGCTCTCACCTTTTTTTAATTGGGATAGTTATATATACTCTATGTTCTTTATCCAATAGACTACAACGATCTGAATGTTCAAAATAAATGCAACCACTTACGATGTTAGATACGACAAAAGTATTCATAGTTATATTCAACTTACATCTAAATGACTCTTTTGAAGAACAATGAAACCTTCATTCTCCCCAGTCGTAGATGACAAGTTTAGGTTTCATAATTGTATTCGAATCTCAAACAGCCGCAAGTTTCAAAACATTTTATTTGACAAAGCCTGATGCCAATGTTCATGATAGTCACAGGCCTCTCCTTCGCCTTCTCTGTTGTTGGATCTCCACATTGTTTCTGTCGGACTTCAAAAGTCCAAACACTGAGTGAACAACTGGTGATAGCAGGAGCTGTTTTTTGCAAAACTCAGTGGTCTCATCTTCTAGTGACTATCTCTGGATACCCCGACCAGACACAATTGAGGACGAATGCGCGGCTGCATATCGACTACTTCTTCATGAAAATGCTTCTTTTCATACCTCTAGACTTGCAAAGGCTGCTGTGCGACAATGTGTGTTGGAAGAGATTCCCCACCCTCCATAAATCCATACCAGACCTGGCACCAAGTGATTTCATCCATTTCCTGGAGTGAAAGAACACCTTCGTTGAAAGCGCTATGACGACAACGATGATCTCAAAGCTGCCGTGAATGGGTTTTTCAAGGTGGCTTCACAAAACTTCTTCCTGTCTGGAATTGAACAGCCTCACTGAGAAGTGTATTGTAAAGAAGAGAGATTGTGTTGAAGAATATAATTTAGAACACTTTTACAATTGTTGGATTTCTTTGTTAGGCTTAGACATTTTTCACCAGCCCTCGTATGTACGTTAAGAAGATATGTTGACAATGTGTACCAGTTAATGACAAAACTAACACTCAGTCAAGTGTAACCACAGAGTGTCTTTATTCTTACAACGATATGCTGTACATGATTTCCAAATTTTACACGCTAACTCTGCATCTCGAGTATTGGATCTATGACTTCACATGTGATGCGTTCATGAGCATCGGATCAACCAATATACTAGTATGTTCTTTTTGTGGATCAAACCAATCTCTTTAATATGGGTAAGTCTTCATATAGTGATCAACATGTTTCTTTTGGCGGTGAGTATATATTATGTGTACGACAATGGGAAGTTATGAATGCATTACACAACGGACAACGTAGCAGTTGCCTCTGAATTATTAACACAGAACGCTGAGGCTACATAAAGCTATTATGACCTAACGTTTGGGATGTAAATATATGATAATTACTGTAAATATTGAGTGTATGGGCCCTCTGCTACGTCTGTGAATATGTGAATAACCAAGAAATACATCAATCAGGGTGTTACCACATCACAGATGAACAGATGTTCTTCACAGTCAAAGTGAAACGATGGTGTTCAACTATACTTAATGCTCGAAAACATGAAACTAGCGTATGTTATGTATTATACGTGTGCTTCAAGCTATTGTAGGTGTATCATAACAGATTGCTCGCTGAGGATGACAAGAATATATGAGGATTGGCATAACATACATCACTTTGTGATGTTTGTAATTCAGAAATATTTTACGAAATATATACACGATACATTATTAATAACTACCATGGACAACATTAATGTATAATTAAAAACATAATCGCAGGTAGGTACCCAGGTCATAACATCAGTATCAATAGTTACATGGCCACCTGGTTGCTGCCGCTGGTGTTTTGATAGACTGGCTCTGTGAGGAAGACAACATAGTAAAATGTATTATTTTTAGTAGAACTGCGTCTCGGTCGGGTAGTTTAGTGGTTAAAACGTTCACTCGTCACGCCGAAAAACCGGGTTCGATTCCCGACATTGGTACAATGTGCGAAGCCCATTTCTGTTGTCCCCCGCCGTGATATTGCTGGAGTATTGCTAAAAGCGGCGTAATACCATACTAACTCACTTACTCACTCACTCACTCACTCAACGAGGCCATAGGAACGTGAGGTAGCCTAAATATAATGCTGAGTGAGTTCACTTGTCACGCCGAGGGCCCGGGTTCGATTCCCCACATCTAATACGCTCTTTCTCGTTATTGTCGTCATTATTCTTGTGATAGCAACAGCGTTGCCTGTAGTAGGTCAACAATTGTCTTTTTGTTACAACAGAAAGTTGGTGGACTAGAGCGTGAGTGAGTTGAAATGTAGCGCCAGAGATGAGTTCACTAAAACCAATGTATATTGATGTTCTTCTGTTTTAAAATTATCATATGTGAAATCTAGAACATTGAGTTGTTGTTTCATTCATCATGCTACTTAAGCTCAAACCTCAGGTCTAATTGTTCGACCTACCATCATCGTACGCCTGTCCTTCTGCTTTTCTCATTTCCCTTTCTTTTCCTGGAGTATGAAAGAAAAAGCAGATGGGGTGTTAGAGCGAGCTGTATGTTTGAGTGATGTCGAAAGCTAGATCAATGTCCGACGGTTAAAGTGTACAAGATAGACACAATTTTTATGGATAACAACTTCTTTAATACTACGTTTCTGTATAGATCTAGTCTTGCTTGACAACGGTTTACGGATCTGTACCGAAATGTCGCTTTTCCTAGTATTAAAGAAGTTGTTATCCAATAAAATTGTGTCTATCTTGTCATCCGTCAACTTCTAAGTAATGCCTATCAAACAATTTAGGTGAAAGTGTAACCAGCCATGCATGTTACATGGATACTCGATCGACTGTCATCTAAAACACCAAATCAAAGTCTGGCTCACTTTCGCCCCCTGCTACAATACATTGTCATTGGTATAGAGTGAGCGAGTATGGGGCACACTACCTCAATGTATTTCAGTTCTACCATGCTGCGTCAGATGAATGTGGGTTGACTGACCGAGATCAACCTGGCCATTGACGCTTACAACCTCAGTAAAAGTAATGATGACCGGAACATATCTGGAACCCGAGGTCGTATCGAAGGGTCGCGGGGCATAGCTGCACAGAACGTTTTAGTTATGTACAATGTATGCTATGGACCAAGAACCATGGGGGAAACTGGAATTCACGACCCCGCAGACATAAGCAGCTAATGATGTTGCGATTGTTTAGATCACTGGGTCACCATTGATTTCAAGAACATAGGCCCTGGTGATAAAAATTTGACATTATTCTGCCTTGACAGTTTAGCGTGATCCGCCTAAAATGAATAGTTAGGAATCATCTATAGCCAGAGCATATATAAACGTGAATGGATATGGTTGCACTATTCATTTGACGTATGTTCTCAATCAGCGTCTACTTACCTCTCTGTTGACGAATGTTTTCGCTCAGTTCAAGTTGGCATCCGCGACAGTTCCTGCAACACACAGAGAATGCTATATACACAGGTACATGTATTACATGTAAACATGTCCATGACCAACAGGGGCTAATGTCTCAACACTATGATATTAAATAGACACTCTGCTAGTCTCTAAAAGACGATAAATAAATGCATATTGTTACGTATAATTGCTTTATATTTCGAGTTACACTCTGCAAAAAAAAGAAACGCAAAAGGGAAGCATAAAACGTGGCACATCACTGAACCAAATTTGTTTCCATCGGTTTTGCGGCCATACTCTGTTACCTTGACACCGTTGACGTCGCAGCCGATAATGCAGGTCCGTCAGAATGGCCCCTCTAACTGGTCGTCTACCGCAAATACCTTCAGTGCGTAAATGGTTCCTCCCAGTCTGAGCTGATAGCCTACGCAATCCTGGTATTGCCGTTTCAGTAGAGGTGGCCAGGGGGGTTCTTTCACGTAAGTGACGTATGAATCAACCCAGTGCTCTTGCAGTCATACGTGGTCGATCGGATCTGGGAAGGTCACGTGTTGTCCCGTATGTCTTATAACGGTTCCACAGTCTTATAATGGTGCTTGGTGCTACGAAGATGAATCGCTTGTATCTAGTCGTGCGATGGCGTTGTTGCGTTGGGCTTCCGTCAGTCGTGTCATGTTTTCGCTGTTCCCTTGTTGTCAGATTGTAATGGCATGCAAATGAAAACCCAACGTTTTTATAACCCGACAAGTGATGCTACACGTGCATTTCATGGCGGTGCGTGTCGGTGCCGGGCTCTCCCGTGGTTGTGTTTTTGCGATTTTTCCACCTTTTCACAAAATGTATGCAGTACCTCATTTTATCAAATAAATGCCAATCAATGCAGAAAATACGAATTCAGTTTTGTGAATTAATTTTGTATGGATATCGGCAACACCTTGTAAGATAGTTACACTTTTTCTACTTTTGCGTTTCTATTTTTGCAGAGTATATATACCATGTACGATTTGCGTATTCTTAGACAGTTGATCTGTATTGTGGCTGCTTTGTGTATGTAATAGACACATGGTAACCCATTCTTGTGTAGGAAGAGCTACATTCACTGACAGAAAAGGGCCAAATACTCCTGATAATGCACCACATTATAACGAGGGCCATTGCTTAACTCAAATTAGGTTAGTCCTAATGCTTCAAACGGCGACATAATACCGCTTGTTTCCTTTAAGTTTTCTTCTTCTGCAAATCCTGGGTTGTCGTATGTTTGGTCAGGGTCGTCATCTGGAACATATGAACGTTGTGTTATGTCTGGAGAGTGAGTGAGTAACACCACATGGAACAACTGGTATCATCATGATCACTACAGTAAACTGCGGTTATAACGAACACGCTTATAACGAACTGGTGGATATAACGAACTGGTTTGTAGGTCCCTGCCATTTGCTGTATCTCTGCTGTATATATGCTTATAATGAATTACGGTTATAACGAACTAGAATTTGTGGTCCCTTTGAGTTCGCTATAACCGTAGTTTACCGTATTTAATAGTGATTTATAACCACGTGCTCATTATAGAGTCGGAGTCGTACAGTCGACTCTTGGATATGGAAGGGGTATTCTCGCTTACATTTAGTAATGTCATGGCACGTAGATTTTACAGGCAAACCCGAAATAATTCAGGTCTTAGACGGAACCTACGAGGGCGGGTATGGTGTTGGCAAACTGATCAGCAGAACCAGGGCGAACCTCAGATTCGAACCAACGATCACAGGTTTCTCGTATTCCTAAGTGACACAACTCATCACAGTGAGGCAACTTAAATGCCTTGGAACATATTCCCCTGCTTGTTTTGAAGAAGAAAGGTTTTGTTCCTTATCCTTAACTAATAACGTCTCATTATTACAAAGACACAGAACGTGTTGAGGTTGAAGAGACATGGTCTTGTTGTAATGCTTAATCTTTGCCTGGCGGTTGACTATTTAGGTTACATCAAACAAGGAATTAAGAAACTGGCATAACGTTAATGAACAAAATTTAATGACCTAAAGATGCGATTTTAAACATGAAGTACCGTATTCGACGTAATAAGCGTCCCGCTCTAATAAGCGCCCACGGCGGCATTTGCTAATATATTGGCTAGTGAACCATCCCAATTAGCACCCCTTCCGATTGATCAATGTTCACCAGACTTATAAATTCGCGTACAATACGCACTCGTGTGTTATATGCACCCTTAATTATTCAATTTCAGAAAAATATATCTGCCGTACATGAACATTTCAGGCTGTCAGCATAAACCACGAAATGTATCTTTCAACTCTGTTTTTTTTTTTACCAAAATAATATTCTAATAAGAGCCCCCTATTTCTAATTTTGAGAGCGCCCTGGACGCTGATTACGTCGATTACGGTAACTGCAGATCAGTGTTATTACCTCTCACTGGTGTCATCTGAAAATGGCAGTAGGTATTCTCAGCACCTGGAAAATACATCATGCTTTTCTGATTTTACTCAGTAAAAGGCAGTGACTTGTTTGCAACTTTCTGAGAACTAAGCTTTCGGCATTTTCGGTGACATGGTTCAGAGACCTGATGGTTTGGAGCTGTGATCATGCTTCAAGTTCCTGGTATACCTACTCCGGGTTTGGTATTCACAGAGCACCGGACAGCTGGAACATTCTGATTGCAATACTGAATAGCTCCAACTTACTCAAGCTTGGAATCATAGTACCGTTGTTACAATAACTCTCTATGTTAACATTGGGCTTTAGTCTCAGTCAGTGAGATACTTATGTATACATGTTCACGTTATAGCTGGGGTTCGTGGGGTAGCCTATACTCGAGGCCCTGGTGTGATGCCCCACATTGGTAGAATGTGTGAAGTTCATTTCATGTGATCCCGCCCAACACACACACACACACACACCGAGAGATAGCTGGAATATAGGATTATTGCTAAGAGATGCGAAAACCTAAATCATTCCCACACATTATAATTAAGGTTCTCAGATCACTTGGTATGTCGACATTATATCTGTTTTGGTGTAATATTTGTGTTCATACCTCCACTTGACAGCTCCATCGTCTCGTAAATCTGTTGGTTACTTGCGGATATTTCATCTGCCCTGCGCGCTTGTTCAGTTCTAGTATAAATGCACAATCAGATTTTTAAAGACAAACATAACAGTAATCATGATTTTGTTTATCATGCCTTTAAGACCACAAAGCCTAAGGCTTTCCTGTTTCTTTGAGGAATTAACATTACATGGGATTAATATCAAAACAAAGTGTTATTTGTAAATACCAGCTTCACAACGGTATAATGATCTATACCGAAACCTCGCCTTTACAGAACGTCGCCTTTACAGTAATTAAAGAAGTTGTTTTCCATAAATTATGTCCACTTTACCAGCTATGATGTTGTGGCTCACAATATACAACAAGATATCATCTTTCAGAACGGGAATGAATATACCTTCACATTTTGGGGATCGTGTTATGTTTGCGATGTTAACAAACAAGTGTGTATATAAGTTATCTTCATGATGGTTGGTTGGTTGGTTGGTTGGTTGTTTAACGCCGCACTCAGAAATATTTCAGCTATATGACGGCGGTCTGTAAATAGTCGAGTCTGGACCAGAAAATCCAGTGATTGATATCATGAGGATCCACGCAATTGGGATACGATGATATGCATGAACCAACCCAGCGAGCCTGACCACTAGGTCCCGTTAGTCGCCTCTTACGACAAGTATATTCGCCTTTTACGGCAAGCATGGGTTGCTGAAGACCTATTCTACCCCGGATCTTCACTGGTTTCTACATGATGGTCAGTATGTTGTTTCTGCAGATGAGGTGGGACAAAGTCAGCCTTGTCGTGTTTGGGTTAAGCGTGCAGCGTGAGAGATGGTTGATATGATTTTGTCATATTTCCTTACAGGTAATAATATTCTACTTTAAACTTCAAGTTTAATTCGAGAATTTGTTTCACAAAATAGAGATGCACCATCTTGCATCACAGTACTACAGAAAGATCGATGCCTTTGATCCTTTAGCGAAGCATTTTAGAATGATTAAACAGCGTTATTGATAAGCTTGATAACCGCATTAAACATCACACCAACCTGTCTGATCTTTCGTTTGGTTTGTCCTCAACTGGAAATGAGAAAGCATACCAGTTTCAAAACATAGCTGTTCCAACATTATTTTCAGTCAACAGAAATTACAATCATTCGATATATGTGCACAACATTATAGACGTTGTGTATTAATGTATATGGCACCTGCGGTTGACGCTCTTATGTTGAGCCACAGATGCACGTACGTTTTGCAGCATGCAGACTCCTCTTCAGGTGTATAATGACGGCGATGAGGATGATAATGGTGACAATGCCAACAGATCCTGTAACAATGGCAATCAGTTGATTCTTGCTCATAGTGTCTTCACTCCCGATCAACGGCGGAACTTGTACTGAGACAAAAGGTTTATCAAAATGAAAGTATGTATATGTGCTTTCCAGATAAACGAAAGCATGTTAAACTTATATCTTGATCAGACATTCATCTATGTAATTCGTCGTCTACACAGACACAAATATGGAATTATTTCTTGGTAGGTCTAAGGTCCATAAGAAATTTAGACACTGCTCCACCGATGCCACATTGTATTTTATTGTGTCAGTGACGACAACATCCTGAATTTAGGTAAGAAAACGTAAACTCTGTGGATAACAACTTCTGGTTTACAGCATATAGCGATATGTTTATGTAGAATCTTACACTGTTATCAAGCTCGAGTGACAACAACCATCTGATAGGGACACATATCCATGACATTAGATAGGCAGCAGAATAACATTGACAACAAAAGACAGATAATACATAACAGGTAGCATACAGATAATTGAATGATGCTAAATGAACAGTCAGAATAACAAATAGTACACACGTAATGACGCACACGGGTAAAGAAGTCAGGTGTACATTAAGGATAATTGTTAAAAGGATCAAACAGTTGTGACAAGCTGATTGGATTATAATAAAGCAAGAAATTGTTATCCATAAAGTTGTACGTTTTCTACTTAACAACTTCTAGAATGCCAATCAACCAGTTACCAAGAATGTATGTTGTACAACATGTACAGCTATGATAATTCCAGTTTGCCAACATGATGAGATCATATTTTGTATGGTCAAAACAGCCTCCGATATACATCATACATATTAAAATAGAACTGCAATAAGATTGACAATCATCAATCTCTAGCGCATAACTTTTATCGAGGAACGGCCATTTCCAAAACAGAAATGAAAGCCATCTATATCTATTACACTAAAAGTCGTATTCTTATGTAGATTAAACGTTTCCTTATAGATATTGTGTGCATATTGATTGAAATTAACACTTCTTGTATATTTTGTATCCATAATTACCACCAGATGTATACCTTTTCACTCACTCACAAACTTAAAGTGGACTTGTTCTCAGCTTCATCTCAGACTTAAGAGTCCCCTCTGCTATTGTTTACAGAAAAAATATTGCTAAAAAAATGGAGTTGGCAATATACAGGAAAATGCTAGGTTATATTCAACAAATCTTTCCTTGCATCCTTTTTTAATATTGTACCTTTAGTTCTATATGTATTGCAAATATCTAATGACAGTCAATCGGTCTCACTGATAGATGGGGCTATCCCACTACTAAGTAAAACACTAAATACCAAGTACATACATGCACTGACAATGATCTTTATCATCACGAATTATGTTCCCTTCCCTTTAGTAGCAGAGCAGGACATATTCCTGGCATTAGACGTGATAAATCATGCTTCGTCAACTCTTGTCCATAACTAACTTTGTCATTATGGTATCATGTGTCGGAGGTGACAGAGTGGTTGGGTTCGTGCACGACACAAACAGCAGTTACGTCTCCAACATGTTTACCAATGAAGACCTCTAGGCTGGACGCCAGATTTTTGTAGCAAGGTATAAGATTGCACCTCATTGTTACAGAAAGAAACTTATAATAGGTTAATGACGTAGCTCACATCGAACGTTAACATGTGCAACTGCTCGTCCGGGTGTCATCATGTGTCCATTATCAGCAGTACAGGTCAGTTTCCCTTGGTCAGAATGGGTTATGTTACGTTTGAGGAACGTAGAACCAGTACTTGTTTGTCCGTTGTGAGACCACCGGAATGTGTGGACACTAGGGTTGGCATCATCTACTACACAGTCTACACGGAGGTCTTCACCGACACTGGCATCAAGGGTGTCATTGCCTGGTTCCAGATGTACCACTGGCGGGTCTGAAGAAATCAATGATCAATCCACAATTAAGTGACATATTCCGTGCAATAAGAAACACTAGAATTTTCATTTCATAAAGACTAAAAACTGACATTCACACATTCTACACTACCGTACCTCACGACTACCGATGTACATACCCACGGGGCAGGTGTACGCTCCCGCATTCAATAAAGAATCTGTTAAATGTCCATACATTATTATTGTACTGAAGAGAAAACACGAAATTCATATGACGCCTTTGTTATGTTTGTCACAGAAATATACTTTCATACCTTCGTAAAATGAGCTACTAAGGGATTTCATTTGTATTGGCATAAATTGCAACCCTCGTTATTCCCTTTTCGTGAATCGTAAATGACTTACACAGAACGTTGATTTGAGTAGAGGCTAGCACATTCCCTGCACTGCATTCTAAACTGCCAGAGTCCGACTTGGATGTTACTGTTTTACTTAAGGTTTGTCCATTGTAGGAACGTCCGTTGTGTGTCCATCTGAACGAAGTGACCGGGGAGTTGGAGTAGTCGACCACACACACGACACTGATCACCTGACCAAGGGGGACGTTAAGGACACTTCCTGTTGGTTCCAGGTGGATTTGTAGGGTGGCTGAAAGATGTGACCACGTATACAATATGCAAACAATCTTATTATGAGTCTACTTATTTATTCAAATACACCATGTTCCTTTTAGTCAGTTTAGATATTTCTCATGAAAAAAATTCTATTATGTATATTTCTCACCTCCAACTCAATGGAATACCACCCCCACCCCACCCTCACCCCACCCTCACCCCACCCCCCTCACTACTAATGTATCAAACCCATCTCTACGACATATCACCCAACGTCCCTATTGTGTTAAACCTTCTTCCACAAAATACCACCCCACGTCACTAATGTGTCAAACCCACCTCCACGACACACCTGCTACCCGCATCACTACTGTATCAAACCCACCTCGAAGAAATGCCACCCCCACATCACTATTGTGTTAAACCCACCTCCAAGACATACCACGCCAACATCACTACTGTGAGAACAGCCTGTCACTGTTCCCCAACGAGTGTGGGAACACTCGTCTAGGGAGGTCTCGGTCCCCGCACAGTTGACGTTACTCATCCAAACAAGCCCTTCACCTGGCCCGTAAGACGTTGTCACATAGGCGCTTGTCCTATAAAAGAACTCTACAGGTTGCGTGATGATTCCTATACTCATTTGAACAGTGTTTGTCATATTAAGATTTATTCGTCTAAACTTCTTAAGCGAAATATGTTTAGAATGTCATACTAAGGAGTAAGCTTATGTAGATGACATTAACAATACAAACAAAGACAAAACATTGAATACAAATAGCTAAATAGATGTATTTCTGTGAATCAGACGGTTTACAATTTTAGTTCCCTTAGCACCTGGTATAAGTTCAAAAGCAGAATTTATGTTTTCCTAAAATGGCAAGGTAAGACGTTCCCCCCCCCCCCCCCCCCCCAAAGACCTCAATAGACCTACTTACCAAGGCAAATTGGCCATTTTGCACACGACTTGTGCCTCCTGTGAGGAAAACGACGACCCTCTACAAACTGTTCCCCAGACATTGTTGTGAAGTACTTCCACCCGACCACGTCCACGAATTGTCGAATTCAAGCGTATTTGAGAATATGCTTGAACCAGAATGTACCAAACATTACAAAAATATCACATAATATTACCTTTGTCAATTTTGCATCAATGTAAGACTTACTTGAGGAACACCTTATTGGAACTACTGTTAAGGAATATTCAACACTATTCCATGTCTTTAAGTGATAATTTACACTGGGCCAAAAGGCAGGCAGCACTCACCATGTAAAGACGTCACAGCTTTCACCAAACATTGTGACAATGTGGAACGAACGTCACAATCCTGAGACAACACACTCATCACCTTGTTATGACGTTTTAGTAATTAATTGCTATGATATTATTAAATCATATTGAAACCTACCAGAGGGACAACGTATTCCAGCTACAGTCGATGAAGAACAGTTTACATTAACCCAAGGATAATGCAGACATTCATTGAAGGAGAGTTCTGTGCCAAGACATTGAACCTTGTCTAAGATAACTGGAGGTGTTGATGTCTTTGTGTAGGCGATGTAACTCGCCCCAATACTGAATATTAGATTTTCAAATATTAGATAGGCAATTGATAAAATGTTTATATATGCAAATATACATTTCGTTCCTAAAAAATTAATTTGTTTGTGGTATACTTATGATTCGAATCTCATTTCTCTGATCGTAAATTAGGAAATCGAAAGCAGCTCACACAATGATGACAAAAATAACGGATTAGGCGATGCCACGTTAGTAATAAGTACATGTGTTTCACATGTCAGAGGACACGCACGTGTGTCTTTTAAAGATACAACCGATGTAAAATTATTTTTTTTGCCATATTATTGTCCATCGATAGCCTGAATCTCTTCACAGAGAGTCAATCAAGATTTTGTTCTTACTGTCACAGAAAGCCGTGACTTTGTCAACTGACAACACCCTCTTTGACACTGATCACAAAGATCCATGGATATTGTCTGCCGGGTCAGGTTCTGATATGGTGTCAACATATGGTTGCTTGAAGACACAAGCTCGCTTTTCATAGCTTCGTGTATTTCATTTGGTGACACATAAATACTTAATCGCAGCTCATTTCTCAGTTTTCTTTATTGCCGCAGTTTCTCTTATGCACGCAAGTACCCCAGGTGACTGCTCAAAAACAGTTGGAATTATTGGTCTGTAACTTCGTGTAGGGATGCACGACCTGTTTTTATCATATTTGTGGAGGTACTCTCGAGTCGCGATTTCGCGATCCCGTCTAGCTTCATTTTCGAACCAAGCAAAACAGGTCCACAGAAGGCTTTGTATGTAGTAAATCAAAAGACCGTTGAAGTTATTCTGGTTGTATTGATGCCATTTCTATTTGAATATCATGGAAATTGTATTAATTATTAAATGTTTAGTTAATATAGCATAATTGTGTTTATTCGCTCCACGTGAATCAGTAAAAGTTACGACAATTTCATTTTAAGCAAATATATATGGTAGTAATTTACACGAACAATTACAAGCAACAACCTTATGGTAATAACTTTAACTTGCAACAACAATTAAGATAATATCATTTGAATAAATAAAGTAATCGGAATTCAAATTCCTCACAAATACCCCAACCCAAATATCACCATTCGGAATAGAAATGTATCTATAATATGTTTCTATGTATGCTTATATTACATGAAATCATGCTAATCGTTACTATTCTTGTGCATGTTTCAGATTTCATATTGTCCAAGCCATTCACTATATTCTATATTTAAGTGTTGTTTTTCATAGTGCAGCTCAACACATCGGGTTAGTTAGGATTACTATATTCTTCAGTTGTAATCACCAACCATATCTTGTTTAATATTACATAAGTGGATAAAGAATATCTATACAATTACACATTTGTATGCTTCATTTTCGAACCAAGCAAAACAGGACCTCAGAAGGCTTTGTATGTAGTAAATCAAAAGACCGTTGAAGTTATTCTGGTTGTATTGATGCCATTTCTATTTGAATATCATGGAAATTGTATTAATTATTAAATGTTTAGTTAATATAGCATAATTGTGTTTATTCGCTCCACGTGAATCAGTAAAAGTTACGACAATTTCATTTTAAGCAAATATATATGGTAGTAATTTACACGAACAATTACAAGCAACAACCTTATGGTAATAACTTTAACTTGCAACAACAATTAAGATAATATCATTTGAATAAATAAAGTAATCGGAATTCAAATTCCTCACAAATACCCCAACCCAAATATCACCATTCGGAATAGAAATGTATCTATAATATGTTTCTATGTATGCTTATATTACATGAAATCATGCTAATCGTTACTATTCTTGTGCATGTTTCAGATTTCATATTGTCCAAGCCATTCACTATATTCTATATTTAAGTGTTGTTTTTCATAGTGCAACTCAACATATCGGGTTAGTTAGGATTACTATATTCTTCAGTTGTAATCACCAACCATATCTTGTTTAATATTACATAAGTGGATGAAGAATATCTATACAATTACACATTTGTATGCTTCATTTTCGAACCAAGCAAAACAGGACCTCAGAAGGCTTTGTATGTAGTAAATCAAAAGACCGTTGAAGTTATTCTGGTTGTATTGATGCCATTTCTATTTGAATATCATGGAAATTGTATTAATTATTAAATGTTTAGTTAATATAGCATAATTGTGTTTATTCGCTCCACGTGAATCAGTAAAAGTTATGACAATTTCATTTTAAGCAAATATATATGGTAGTAATTTACACGAACAATTACAAGCAACAACCTTATGGTAATAACTTTAACTTGCAACAACAATTAAGATAATATCATTTGAATAAATAAAGTAATCGGAATTCAAATTCCTCACAAATACCCCAACCCAAATATCACCATTCGGAATAGAAATGTATCTATAATATGTTTCTATGTATGCTTATATTACATGAAATCATGCTAATCGTTACTATTCTTGTGCATGTTTCAGATTTCATATTGTCCAAGCCATTCACTATATTCTATATTTAAGTGTTGTTTTTCATAGTGCAACTCAACACATCGGGTTAGTTAGGATTACTATATTCTTCAGTTGTAATCACCAACCATATCTTGTTTAATATTACATAAGTGGATGAAGATTATCTATACAATTACACATTTGTATGCCTAGATAATGTATAATATTGTTCTCATTATTTAGATTGATGTCAACTCGTGTGATGTCATGTGATGTGAGTGATGTCTGAAACGAGAGACGCATTGGAGATGGGTGAGGAAGTTGGGCCACCACCCAAACTTTGGAGGGTGGCCAAAGTGGTGAAGAGGAGGTGAAGCAAAAGCCAGTATGCATTGTCCACGTCCCAGGATTGCAATATGGAACATTCCAACCAGTATCTGCCATGAAGGATGTTAAAAACAGACTTACCAAATTGAAAGAGATACGCGAGAAGAGACTACTATCTCAACCCCAGGCTGTGTTTATCAAATGACAAAGACATCTGAACTTATACTAGACGCTGCAGCAGAACACCATGGACACCACAGAGAGTGTTACCAACGATTGACTTTGAATCTCAATCGCCTCTCGTCACACTCTGATCCCTACTGGCCATCAAGTTCCACACCAAGCAGGAGATCTTCAGGAGACCATGTATTGTTTACTCTTGACTACATATGCTGCGATTCAGAAGGGTGGAAGAAACTCAGGGTCAAGGGAACATGGACAGTTTCAATATGATCGATGGAGAACCGTACTGGAGACGGCCTAGAAAAGTGGTGACGAAAAACTTCTCACAAGGATTCGAGGGCAAAACTTGTTCGCCTGTGAAGCAAAGTACCACGAGTCGTGTAGAGTGAAGTACACACCGACTTCTGGACAAATCGAGACAAATGAAAATCACAGAGGCCCGTAAGATAGCTTTTGATGTTGCGAGTAAAGTTATTGACATGGATATCCTACAGCAGAAGACGATGTTGAAACTGACTGATCTGTGTAAGATGTATATTGATAGTTTGCAACTAACTGAGTTTCCAAATCCAAACATCCATGGTGAAAACCACAAAGGAAAGCTTGAGAAACACTATACATACAAGGGCAGGTTGTCTTTCTGTATGTTGAACAGCTGTGGAACCTTTCAAACCTATACAGTGTTCTCTTTCGAAATTGACGTCAGAAATGTTGTTATGAACTCGCTTATTCAGATATGACCAAAGAAGCTCGAAGTTATCTGCACAAGACACCTTCGCACAACCAAACAAATTGAAATTGCCACCATCTGCTCAGGATCTTCGAAACAATAGTGATGTCCATCTCAGCTTGAGAAGTTCATAAAGTATATCATAACAGATAGAACAGCCACCCACACATCTAAATCATATTGACACGTACATTTGATAGGACAAGATACCTGTAATGCAGTAACAAACGGAGAGTAGAAACTCCCAAAGCATGTGTTGATATGCATGACACTTCACAACCTGTTCAGAAGTGAGCGGTTGATCACAATGCTCAACCGAATGGGCCATTGTGAGAACTACACGTTTGCACTGGAAACAGCGCTGGCACAGGAAACATCAACTCTATTGTCAACACACATAATTCGGATTTGATAAGTTTGATCAATTGCTGAACAATCTAACTGGAATTAGTTCAGTTCATACTGTCCATGGTATCATGCTACAGGATAAAGTAGACAAACCAGAAGATCATGGTGGCACCCGTGTAAACATCCCTTCAATTCCGAAGGATAATACTACCAAACAACGTTCGATGAACCATAATCAACACAAGACCAAATAGCGTCCATTCCAATTTGGAATGATCGTTGGATTTCTTTGGAAAGATCGCTCATTCCAACATTTCCAAAGCTTGGAAAGATCGATCTTTCCAAAAAATCCAAAATTGGAATGGCAACATTTCCAAGCATATTTCCAAAATTGGAAATGTTTGGAATGGCTTGGAATGGTTTGGAATGGTTTGGAAATATGGTTAGAAGGAAAAAGTTAAAATATGTTTTATCAGTAATTTGGACAATAACAACAGTTATTTATTGAGTTTAAACTATATAATAATATATTTATCTCAAACATTCACTACTTGTCTGTGTAGCGAGGGGCTTTTACAGTCTCAGTCCCTAAGGTGGGAGAGAGACCCGCACTTGACTCGACAAGACCCTAATAGGTCTCAAGATTAAGTATTCGGCTGGATGGCAGCTGCCATTTAATGACAAAACAGACGGTCGTCTAGACGGCTCACATGTAAGTGCGCCGACATGTGCCTAAGATCATAGAATGGACAATCTTTAGTAACATCTAATTGATTGTTGTCTCAGGCCAGAGCTGTGAATAATTCTGTTCATTGAACAATTGGAATTCAGGAAGTTATCAATAATTGTTTTATTTAACATGTTTACGACATAATATTATGACATCAGGACGTACTACAGACAGAACCATATATTTTAAAATCAGTTTGCAATCAGTTTAAACTCTTTAACCGCGGGAAACGAACACTGAATTATTTATGTATGCTTCAATAGAATACAAAACATGTT